ATGAATGACTGAATGAAAAATGATGAAAATAAAAATAAAATAAATGAAAGATATTAGATTGAATGAAAGAATGGTGGGAAAATATGAAATAAGGAATGAAAGAATGGTGAGAATATTGAAATCCGGAATGAAAGAATGATGGGAAAATATAAAATGAGGAATGAAGGAATGGCGGGAAATAAGAAATCCGGAATGAAAGAATGATGGTAAAATATGAAATACGGAATGAAAGAATGGTAAGAAAATATGAAATAAGGAATGAAAGAATGGTGGGAAAATATGAAATCCGGAATGTAAGAATGATGGGAAAATATAAAATGAGGAATGAAGGAATGGCGGGAAATATGAAATCCGGAATGAAAGAATGATGGTAAAATATGAAATACGGAATGAAAGAATGGTAAGAAAATATGAAATAAGGAATGAAAGAATGGTGGGAAAATATGAAATACGGAATGAAAGAATGGTGGTAAAATATGAAATGAGGAATGAAAGAATGGTAAGAAAATATGAAATAAGGAATGAAAGAATGGTGAGAATATATAAAATCCGGAATGAAAGAATGATGGGAAAATATAAAATGAGGAATGAAAGAATATTAAAATACAAACCAATGGAGTCAATGAATGAAAAAATGATGGGATGAATTTGATAACCTTTGGTGTGGCATAAGGCTTCAACAATTGAGCGCTCGATAAGGTTCGAAATCCCTAGCAATAACAAGATTAGTCGGAGAAATATCATTCTACGAAACACACTTTTTTTCTATTTATTAAGTTTATTTTGGCCACAATAATGAAGCATCTAGTAGGGATTGAACTCTCTAGATACGTCTTACTGGAGGCCCTTTAACATAATCTGGTGCAAGGCTACAATAGTGAAGCATCCACTCAGAATGAAATTCAATGGATTGTCCGCTTGCTTTGTTAGTCATATCTCTAGGGCAAGCGGCTGTATTTACAGAAGAACGGTTGAAATCGAAAAAGAAAATTGACTAATGTTTGTTCGAGGAAAACAAGGGAAGGAAAAAAACAAAGAAAAAAACAGAGTAAAAGTGCAAGAAGAAGAAGAAGAAGAAGAAGACAAAATCGAATTCCCAATTTATTCACTTTCATTGATCGGCTGCTTGCAGCCGCCGTTGTTGCTACTCTTAGTTTGGGAAATGAGTGAATGTGGGCGTATGGGCGGAGACAAATGCATATTTTCGTCTTCCTTCTCCAGGCAGACTCACCCCAATTAACTCGGCTCGATGGGCCATCGGGAAAAATATGCAAAGCTGGAAATTCGTCGCATTCTTCAACACCCACCCTCACACCGTTATGGAGATTGGGCAAGCCTTCTTTACATGCTTGACACAGAGATCCTTATGCGCATGCGTGCACGCACGCACACACCATGTAACAGAGACAGGCGTCCCTTTTGGCAAGGGCATCTGCTCTTAATTATTGAGTGGGACAAAGGTAATGGGGCGGTCACTTCATCTGGACAACAATATAGTCCACATCTTTGGATGAATTTGTTAGAAAACACCACATAGATGCACATGACACACACAAATAAGTTTATTGGCAGCTGCATTTACGGTACTCCCGAAACGAAAAGTGTATGCGCTAGGTGACGATCAGCCATTTTGAAACGCTTTCAAAGTTATATTTCAAGAGACTTGCAGAAATTCTTAAAACCGTAAATTTACAATTCTGAATGGTTTCAATACTACTATTAGAAACTTATGTACCAACATTATATGGTCAATCACACACACACACACACACACACACACACATATATATATATATATATATATATATATATATATATATATATATATATATATACTTGATGAGACGAAAATATTTAAACTCCTGGAGTATACACAAATATATTGGAAATTAGAAATTATGAACTAAGTTTAATATAGTATACTGCATGGATGAATGGAACGAAATGAAGGTCGTTTTCTGCCAATCTTCCATATAGAAAAACCTTTTCTACAAGTGCGCCTGGTTGCCTTGAAAAGCGGCATTCGAAATCCGATCTTTATATATACTTGGGTTTGACCTCTTGTAACACTATCAAAAACTAAACAACCTCATCCAAACCAAGAAACAAAAACGGTCATCCTTCTCTCCACACACACACACTCACACACACACACAGAGATATATAAGTTAAATAATGAAAAGTTTAGTAATTTGTATCGATAATCTCAAGGGTTATGTCATCAAGAGAGCTCAATGTCAAATCAGAGCAATTATTAATTCGATTTAATAGAAAACAGACAACCTTAAGGGTTATAATTTATTTCCCCAGACCGCACTTCAGACTGTGACAAAATGTTTTAAATTCAATTACATATATATATATATATATATATATATATATATATATATATATATATATATATTTAATTGAAATGTAATTCCCATTAAATGCTGGTTATCGCTAATTTTTTGAAAACCGATTTCTATATCCTAGGGGGAGATCTACACAAGCGTAAATGTTACTTTATCCGGATCTTATTAAAAAAAAAAAACGTGATACGTATATACGTAAATAAAAGTTTTACGGTCGTAGAACCGATATTCAGACGCTTAGAATTTAAGTCAGTTCTGTTATTTGCGCGTATTTGTACTCGTGGGCGGCGACTATCAAAATTCTTCCTCATATGAAGATATACATGTGGACACACAAAGAGATATGAGCCGATTGAGATAGCAAAGAATAGAGAGAGATAACTTATATAGGTTAGTATAAACATGCGTGCGCATGCGCCAAGGGAAAAAGAGGGCAAGGGAGAGATGGAGGGTGGAAGAGAAATGGGGTTAAACAAGGAATAATAGATAAGAACTCATAAAAAATACTAACAGAGAGATATCAACATAGAAAATTTAAAGTTTTTAGCTTCGGTTTTTGAAACATGGTTATTACTGTGTAACGAAGAAACTATAATTTAATTCAGTTAATTTGTAATATATATATATATATATATATATATATATATATATATATATATATATATATATATATATATATGTTTTAATTGTATCTAGAGACAGAAAAAAATTAAACGGGTGAAATAGAAAAGAGGCATGACCTGTTTAAAATAAATAGGCAGATTTTTAAAATGATTCTGCAACATTATGTACAACCTTTACAAAGATTGTTATAAATTTGATCCATTTTAGAAAAAGTGCTGAACAGTAACATTAACCCATTTCTAACCACCAACCAAGCCGATTGTAATTTTCGAACAAAAACGCGGAATTACATTTCAGATCGAATAGCAGAAAAGGAATTACTTCTTTGATATACGTAATTACAAAATAAATAGATAAAGAAAGAAAGAATAAAGAATAAAGAAGTATGAAGAAAGCCTCCAGCCATTCATGCAATGTTCAATTGTTCGTATTCTACTAATTCTACTAATTACTACTGAACTGTTAAAGCTATGGTGACTGATCACCTCTTGTAATTGCGAGTGAAAATACGTTCTTTTAGAGAAGATCTCAGTGTGACAGGGTCCCCACAAGGCAGTTGGCATAGTAACATCAAATCTCCATTTAATCTTCTTGTCATTTCCAGAATGCAAGCCGTACATTTTTATTCACACGTAGATAATACTCATTAAATTGGCTTTTAATACTCTTATCAAGGAGAAGTTTTCAAGTCATTTTTGGTCGTTACGATAAGAAATCAAAACACATCGATGCGTAAGCCAGTGCGATCATTCTTACTACATATTATAATATTTATATTTTGAAATAAATCATCGTCATCATCATCATCATCGTCGTCGTCGTCGTCATCATCATCATTAGCATCATTATTGTCATCGTCGTCTTCATCATCATCAACAACAACAACAACCCCACTATCTGTGACGTATAAAATTTTTATTAAGGCTCTAAGAATGTATATTTTTTTTTAAAGTGTATATATATATATATATATATATATATATATATATATATATATATATATATATATATATATATATATATATATATATATATATATATATATATATATATATATATATATATATATATATATATATATATATACAGAGATAGATAGATAGATAGATAGATAGATAGATAGATTAAAACAAAAGGAGGAATATTACTTAACATAAAATGGTGAAAAGAAAAAGGAAAAGAGGGCTAACTGGTTATTACTCTTTCTCTTCATAGCTCAATCAGGGACAAAACATAAAAAATTGTAAAGAAAAAATTTGTTTGAAGATACAAAAACGAAATAAGATGGTTAAGTTGGTTCCATATACAATTCACGACAGGAGGTGATGTACCTGACTACCTGCAGAATCGAACTAGTTACACAAGAAAAAGAGTTTGTGAGATTAGATGACACTTTTCTCATCATAATTTACTATTATTTTTAATTTAAAAAAAAATTATGCATTTTCCTAATTGCACCGATTATTGAATCACAACCTTTGGGCTTGACCAAATAAACTCTCTACTCTGAAAAGAACAAATTTCACTGTTGTCTTAAAATGGTTTAAGTCATTTTTTGAATTCGAAACGATCTAGCCCAAGCCTACCTTTTTGACTCTCCAGCAAACCAAACCTATGACTACTTATTTGACTCTTGTGAAAACCAATTCTCTCTCTTTCTTTTTGACTGAATCGGGTTTCGGCATTAAATAACTCATGAGAAGTTGGTGCGCCGTTAAACAAACCACGTGATCCAAAATGACGATTTTTTTTCATACCGTTCTACTAACAGCTCAGTCGACGGCTTAGTTCATGGATTTGCTTTGTATGGATTGGTCTTAATTTGTTGGCATGGATCTGGAATCGGTATGAAAGGAAGGAAGGAAGGAAGGAAGGAAGGAAGGAAGGAAGGAAAAGGAAAGATTGAAGGAAGGAAGGAAAAGGAAGGAAGGAAGAAATGAAGGAAGGAAAGAAGGAAGGATAGATAGAAGGAAGGAAGGAAGGAAGGAAGGAAGGAAGGAAGGAAGGAATGAAGGAAAGGAAAAAATGAAAAAGAGAGAAAAGAAATAAAAGTATACTGAAAGGAAAAGAATAGTCCATAAATATACAAAGAAAGTGGAGAAGGAAGAATAGAATTTTGGTAGGAAAGTAGACGAGGAGAGAGTGTAGAAAGAAAGAAAGAAAGAAAGAAAGAAAGGAAGAAAGAAAGGAAGAAAGAAAGAAAGAAAGGAAGAAAGAAAGGAAGAAAGAAAGAAAGGAAGAAAGAAAGAAAGAATGAAAGAAAAGGAACAATATGAGTGAGCAAGAATGAAAAATAAAAATCGAGTGAAGAACCAAAGAAAATAAAGAAAGAATAAAAGAAAGCCAGAAAAGAAGGAAAAGAAAAAAAGAATGAATGAAGAAAATAGAAAGAAAAGAAAGAAACGAGAAATGGAAATGAAGAAAGAAAGAAAGAAAGAATAAAAAGAAAAAAAGGAAAAGGAAAGAAAAAAAGCAAAGAAAGAAAGGACTTAGCAAAGTAATTGTTCAAATTAAAAAGTTTTAATCGAATCCAAATAAAATCCACAAACATCGTTTTCGCTAAATTCGGTTAAATTTAACAATGTTTACTTTTAATAAAATCACATTTGCGTTAGTTAATCTAATCTTTGGTATAAAAGGCCAAATAAAAACAGATAAGCATTTTTATTGTAATTATATAAATCCCAAACTTAGTTACCAAATCAAAATACAAAACGCTCCCTTGCCTCCATCTTAGGAAACTACAAGGATTTTCAGTGCCTTTCCAGACAAACATATTCAATATTTTTCAATTGTATTAGCTAAGAAAAGATTTAGATAGTCATACACTGGTGACCTAGATTAAATGTTCGAGTCTAAGTCCAGTTTTTCAAATGCTGATTTTCCAGTTGTACAGGTTCACTTAAAATCTGCTCTTCTTACTTCTATTTAGTGTTGGCCTACAGGGTAAATGTTCGAATCTAGATAAGGGTCACAGTTTCAAATGCTGATTTTCTAGTCATATAGGTTTTCCCTCTTGGGAATCTCAATCTTCTTTTTCCTCTGAGATTAATATTAGTCTAAGCTTAGTAAAGCTTATCAAATCTCTCATTCCGAAAATGATAGCTTGGCATCCCAACAAAGATGATTAATAGATGTGCCATCTTTTTGTTGCTATTGCCCGAACAGGAAAAGTAGTAATGGGGGAGTGGTTTGCACAGATATTTATTCACCCACTCTTTTTTGGTGAAACGTTTTTGCATGTTTGTGACAAGACATCAAGTGATCCGAGGACGGGACCGACTGCAGAAAGATATGGAGTCATGTCATTCCCAAGAACATTAGATCATAAAAGTCTGTTATCTGTGTCTTTCACGCCGTTGTCATTTACGTCTATAATCTCCAAATTAAAAGAAAAAAAGTGACAGGTGTTCATACCTGTCACTTTTCTTTTGCACCAACATCACTACCAACTTCTTGCAGTCTTCGACCCGAGGCGAATTAAAATATAGCGTGTTCGTACTCATTGGTTTTAATAAGCAGCGCTCGAAGACACAAAGAAATCATTTAGAAGCTTTATTTAATAATGACCCTAAAGTCTGATGATGGCAATGAAGATATGACAAAGAAAAACCGTAAAGTACGCCATTTAAATGAAAAGGTTAAAGTTTTAGATTTAAGAAAGAAAAATGTGTATGATGAAGTTGCTAAGATCTTTTTTCAAGGCATCCACCCCAAGCAAGTCGGGAGTGTCACTAGCACTCGAGGGGTTACAGAAGATTGAGAACAAGAGTAAAGAGCCGTGTTTGAGAAGAGAATACAGAGAAGGACGGAGAACAAGCCGAGGGTGTCAGATGTCAATTAACATTACACTTGAATATTTGAAGATTATAGTCATCGGAGAAAAAAGGAAGAGGAAGGGAGTTTCACAGACGGGAAGTGCGGGAGAAGAAGCTGTTTGAGTAGAAGAGACGGTTATATTTAACCGTTTCGACAGTGAAAGGGTGGGACCTAGATGCCAGCCTGGTAGCTCGTTTAAATTCATATAGCCCGGGAACCAGCGAAAGTAGATCGTCAGAACAGTTGCCGTGAAAATACTTGTAGAAGAGACAGAGGGAGGCCACGGAACGTGTGTGGGATGGCGTTTGTAGACTAGATGCTAGATCAGGACCTATCATCTTGCATATTCATCTCTGCAAAGGTTACGCAAGAGTTTGATAGGGATTCCACGAGAAATCCAATGATAAATAGATAAATTTAAAGTAATATTTGCTTCATTTTATATTCGTAATTTTATTATGTACGTACGGCATATTATTGGAAAATCTTTTATTATAATAAAGTCTTCAGCCTCTTATATTATTTAAAAATATAATAATTATAGGGAATATATTTAACGTTGTCTCTATGACGTCAGTGTGAAACTAACTTCACTGGTTAGAGGACTATGCATGACAGATTCGTGTAACATTGACTGAATTATTCGAGTACAGGACGCATGCGCAGTGTCCATAATGTTTACTACGTGTCCCACGATAAAAATCTAAAAGAGATAGATAATAATGGTCTATGCTAATTTTTATGCTTATGTTCCATGAGTCATGGAAACTATTTCAAAGGTTACACAAGGGTAAGAGGCTAGCGAAACGCTGATGTACAACAAGAAAGAATTTTCTTTACGTCATGCAAATTTTATTACACTATATTGTTATAAACTTTCTATTTTTCTATTAGTTACTTTTAATCTCATGCTGTGTGTAATTTATAGTTTAAATTTCATTAAAGGTGTATACTTATATAAAAACTATTGTATTATTTACATTATTCGAACTATTGTCCTCATCTTTGTCGCCATATTTATTACAACTTCGGCCTTCTTCAGGTGGTTGGAATGTCGAACTGAACTCTTTATTTCGCTCACTGGGGTAGACTGTTCTAGTTCCACGTGCCATGTTTAATGGATATCAGTTATTAGTTATCTCCTGTTAATTTTCCCTCTGAAAGTTCTCCACTGCCTTAACCGAGTATTGAATTTACACTCTTTGGGTCCTATCACTGGATCTAACCAACGCCTTTATCCACTCTACCATGTGTCCTTAAAGACATCTGTGTATGAATTTCTGTGTATTATAAACCTAATGTCTTCAGCAATCATTTTTTTACCAGTGCTCATATTGCAATTTTTGCTGTTATCATTGTATCTTTTTACCAGAGCTCATATTGCAATTTTTGTTGTTATTATCTAACTATTGTATTTATAGAGTTCGATATTATCCACTGTTGAAGATTATAGTTAAGAGAGATACCGTAAATATGAGGCCCAGTGACTGGTCCCTCAAATGGCACCTCCCTATTGCACTAAGGGTATTGAGTCAGAAATATATCCTGTTATCTGCGACAGTGATCACGGAACCAGAGTTATTTTTCAGGAGACCCGGAGAAAAATGCAACTTGTACGTATCTGTTCGCGCGCGTACTCGAACACACACACACACACGCACACACACACATATTAAACAATACATAGACAAAACAATAATGATAGTCTGTTTTTGTTTACATGGAAGATTTCCAAGCAACGACAAACTCGTGCATACGAGACGCTGGAAGTGAAAATCGCACCGCAGTTCATAACGTCAAACATGACCTAAGTTTTCGGCTTACATAATCCATTATCAAAGAAGACAATTACATTACAATATATTAAACAATACACGGACAAAACAATAATGATAGTCTGTTTATGTTTACATGCACGAGTTTGTTGTTGCTTGGAAATATTTCATGGAAACATAAACAGACTATCATTATTGTTTTGTCCATGTATTATTTAATATATTGTAATGTAATTGTCATCGTTGATAATGGCTTATGTAAGCCGAAAACTTAGGTCATGTTTGACGTTATGAGCTGCGATGCGATTTTCACTTCCAGCGTCTCGTATGCACGAGTTTGTCGTTGCTTGGAAATCTTCCATGTAAGCAAAAACAGACTATCATTATTGTTTTGTCTATGTATTGTTTAATATAAATGTGTGTTTGTGTGTGTGTGTGTGTGTGTGAGAGAGAGAGAGAGAGAGAGAGAGAGTAACTCTAATAAATCAATTACGGAAATTGCAAAGAAAGAAATCTAAAGGTACCACAAACCAGGCAAGTTCATTGCAATGTTTGATCCTCTTTCTTGGCCTTATGTCAAACAAAGTTATAGTTATCAGATATAGTCATGCCTTTGCGTACTTACTAACAATCTACCGAATTTGAAATAGAATGTTTAAAAGTATATAAACAATATCGCTGCAAGTATTTTCAGTTTTAGGTTTTTATCCGTCTATCAAGTTTGGTTTTTATTAAAAATAAACGTAGAACAGGCCACGGCAAAGATGAAAAACATGGAATAAATAATGACGTTGCCATTAGAGACGCATGCTCTGATGTTGTTAAGTGTGTTTGAAGATGAGATTGAGTGAAACGCCAGAATTTGATTGGGCGATTACAGTAAAAGAAAACAAGAAAGGGCGTGGAGAGAAAAAGGGTGACAGAGAAAAAGATAGGGAGAGATAAAAATAGTATGAGAATAAAAATGAAAAAGATGACACTGAATGAAACGCCAGAATTTGATTGGCCGATCACAGTAAAAGGAAGAAAAGGAGAGAGAGAGAAAGGGAAAGAGAGAGAAAAATGGTGGGGAGAGAGAAAGAAACAGACGGAGAAAGAAAGATAGAAAATAAAGAAAGGAAAGGAAAGGGAGAGAGAAGAAGAGGGAAAGAGAGAAAAGGAAAATGAGATAGAAAAAGAAACAGACGTGGAACGAAAGAAAGAAAGAAAGAAAGAAAGAAAGAAAGAAAGAAAGAAAGAGAGGGTGAGGGACGAAAAAAGGTGAGCTTTGATCACATCATAGTACAACTGTGTAGAGTGGGACGGTTAGAACAGGTAATAAGGGTGGGTTTTAAGTGAGGAACGGACTCCGGGCGCTAACGAGGGATTTTCAGAGTAATTGTGACAAGCGACACCAGATTTACTGCCAGAGTATCGTTGTTTGATCATGTAATCGAATCGTCCACTCTAAAAACGCAAGAGAGATACTTGAAAATCTATGAACGCGAAGAGGTTGTTTGAGAATACATCACCTGAAAAGGAAGTCCGATCTAATGACGAAAAAAGAAAAAAAAAAAAAGGTAACAACAAAAAACGAGAACAGAGAGAAATGGCGTCGATTTACGGCCGCCTGCTTAATCTTCACCTCGTAGCCCAGGAAAAAAAATCACAGAAATAGGAAATTGTAAAATTTGTGTGCGTATTCTTTAAAGGCCAATACTGATTGCTTTTTTTTCTCCTTGCATATTCCCTATTTTTCATCCTATAAGACGCAATCTCCATTTTCAACGCTTCCTTAAAAAACAAAAAACAAAAAAAAAAAACAGAGAAAATGTAATGTTTAAATGATCTAACCATTTAATTAATATAAACGAAAAAAAAAAGCCTACACCGGGTAAGGACGCCTTATTCTGACGATTAATTCTGTCACATACAAAATTGTGGCACAAGGATAAGGGGATGGGGTGTCTTATTCTGCTTCAAAGTACCCCTCTTGGGACTTCATGCATTTATCACGGCATCTCTTCCACTTTTCAAAAGTCTTCTTTGGTAAATCATCATCAACTTCCTTAACACGTTCTCCTTAATCTCATCCACAGTCTAAAATATCATCTTCTTCAACAGCGATTTCAGAGCGGAGGGGTGCAAATCTAGACTCTAGAGAGAGTACATTTTTTTTTATAAGCGTTTCACATACATGGATGTGGCGGTGTTTTGTCAAATATCACGTACAAGACGTTAAGAAATTACCCTCTCGGTGTCACACAGTCACAACGGTCACCCAGCTTATTCAATGGTGCCTCACTCTCAAATAAGCAGCGCTATAGAAATGTGTCTGCTCAACCGTGCGCAGTTAAGAGCCTTGATTGTCAAAAAAAAGTAGCTGAATAATTTCCAAAAGTAGGATAACATGGCGAAGAAACGATTCTTGGATATCATATGCTAGTCGATTTAGATTTTATTTGGATGCTCTCTTTTTTTAGCCTTGTACCAACTTAGATTAGTTAAAATCTATGATGCCTATATTATACAAGTGTGAACCAATAAGACTGTATTCTGATACGAGGTTATGAGTTATGTGTGTGAATATTTCACCGTTCCATCCATGCAATTCATATTTACCAATGAATTAAGTGCATTGACAAGAAAGGAGGTTATGTTGAATAAATATTTGTTATGTCAAATAAATGCATTTGCTTTCCACATTAAGCTGCAGATTTATTGCTGTCCTTACAAACACAGAGATATACATGAGGCTATAGTTTATTTGTCTAATCCTCACGAGCAGTGTAACTTTGAAAGTTGAAGTCGACAGATCAGTTTTTGGATTTTTCTTTATTTCTCCCTCACTCTCTCTCTCTCTCTCTCTCTCTCTCTCTCTCTCTCTCTCTCTCTCTCTCTCTCCACACACACACACAAACGCGCGCGTGCGGGCGCATATATATATATTTTTATTTTGTTACTAATTTTATATATATATATATATATATATATATATGTATATTATCATACGTTGTAAATAAGATTACTAACCCTTTAACTAAATATATATATATATATATATATATATATATATATATATAAAAGATGACAATTATAACAGCACTGTTTTAAAATTTTCAATTGTAATTTAAAAATATTTATATATATATATATTTTTTTATTTTGTTACAAATTTATATATAATTTATTTATATATACATGTGTGTGTGTGCGTATATATATATATATATATATATTATCATACGTTGTAAATAACATTACTAAATATGTGTGTGTGTATATATATATATATATATATATATATATATATATATATATATATATATATAAAAAGACAATAATAAAAGCAATGTTTTAAAATTTTAAATTGTAATTTAAAATATTTACAAATATAAATTAAGTTACCTTCTTTGATAACGTTAATTTTGAATCAACAGACCGCGTTTCATGCGCATTTACAAAAAAATTCACAGCTATAAATTACATTAATGTTTGTCTTAGCAATTCACCCCTGAAGATGATCTTGGATGAAATTGAAAATACTTGGGGAAAATAAAAGAAATGACTAAAACTACGGTACCTTCGTTAATGAGTTTAATAACAGCATTAAGAAATTGATCCATTAATTTCAGAGGATTGAAATAAAATAGTCATAATATGTCTAGATTATTCAACCAAGAATACTTGAATGAACATATACTGCCTAAATATATATATATATATATATATATATATATATATAAATGACTTTCTCGACGATTTTGACGTACGAGCATCCGACAACCTCATTCAGTTTTTATGTTTGTGTGGTATGTGATACTTCAGTCCCACTAGTGACCTGCATACAAGTTCACATATTGTGCAACAACGTGGATCTTGGGACATAGCATCATGAATATTTGCTGCCATTTTTTGACGTTGTCTTTCATCTCTTAGCTGGTCAATGCAACTGATTTCGAAATTTCTGATATCACTCTCGCACAAATATCTCCAATTTTTTCTATCCTGGGCAACTCGCTCGAAATTAATATGAGGCACACTGACAGCTGAGATGTTACTCTTTAACTTGTCTTTTTACCTGAGCCACGGCCGTCCAATATGAGCATATATATATATATATATATATATATATATATATATATATATATATATATATAAGAATCGGTTGTGGGACTGTTGTGGAGTAAATAAAATCCATCTAGTAATACAAATGAACTAAGCAAGACGCCTTAAATAAAGAACTCAGAAAAATCAGTCGAAGTTTGTCTCAGGTTCGCGTCATCGGGCGTCGGGTTATTCAGTAGCGCTCTGTCTTTGGACAGAAACACGACTGAGAAAAACAGACCAGTTCTATACCCGTGACCGCTTTGGCGGGTGCTGGGCCAATTTTGACCACTGGCCCGGGTGGAAACACTCGGGATCCCCACAGTAAACTTGACCTTTTATCGCATCTAATCCGCAATGGGGCAACTGGAAAATACCAGTCCGTTGGAGTTAGGCATTCCGCTCTCTGGCTCTGGCTCGTTATTGTCAAGTTCTCTGTTTTCTGGCAGAGTACGACCTAGTCGGGTCTCTGTCTACGGACAGAGACTCGGCTGAGAAAAACAGACAATCCAAAGTGCCCGATACTGTGTTTACGGGGTCTGGATAAAATTTTGACCCTTGGCTTGAGTGTACGCAATCGGCTTCCCGACACTAAACTCAGTGGGGAGATTGGGTAAATAGCAGTTCGTTGGAGTCATTTAACGAGAATTTCTAGTGACGTCACGGCGAATAGCCAAAGCGAGACATAAAATTATAACCGCTAGGAGAGAGTTACAACTGATACCTACGTACTAAGAGTATTTTTTACATGATTTTTTATGATAATTGATTTTCTTTAAAGCTAAAGAAAACAAATTTGTATTATAAAGTAGTGACTGCGCTGAAAATTTTCTTCAACATTAGTATGTATTACATTCAGTATATTAGACGCAGACAAATTATGAAATCTGTTTTTGCAAAAACAAAAAAAAAAAAAAAAAGAAAAAGTCCGCCAAACCAATATCAATTTTAATTTGTGTCCGCTGTTTGCAATTTGTGTGATTGAATTTATTCGTCTCTAATTTTTTTTTCGAAGCTATTTATATGACATTAACACCGAATTGCTTTTAAATTTCAAGTTAGAATTTACTGCATTTCCTTGTCTATCTTTTGTTCTGTTTTACAATTAGATTGGTAAATTTGAGTGAAGGTAAAAAAAAATACTATTTAACAACATCGATTTTGTTGCGACCAATTTCCTTTATTCATGATAAAACAAAAGTAAGCTTCGACACTTTTATAACTCTTGCTATAAATAACACGAAATGTCTAACATTATGATTTTTCAGTATTTCCAATACCGAGAAAAATTATGAAACTTTTAAATTGCGTTTTATATACTAGAAAATTCGCTATATCTAAAACTGTGTTATATGTTATCCTTTTAGACGCTATCCTATCAGTCTTCACAACTTTTCTGAGGAAAAAAAAACTTCTTTGTGGTCATGAGTTTTTATCCTTTACAAACTTGTATTGATGAGCGTTCTTCTTCAAAAATCAACAAGATACTTTTGATATTTTGGGCCGACATTTTCCAGGTTATAAAAAATATTTTTACACAAAGACCAATTTAAGGCAAAGAAATATAGCTTGATATGAAATGTTATTCTAAAGCAAACATTTTTTAACTATTCACTTCTTTTCGACAAAAGGGAAAAACGATTAGATCGTAGAAGATATTGACGCGTTGGAAGTAACTGTTTTATGTTGTGTGCCTATTCAGTCAAATATTTTCACTTTATATCAAGTAATATATATATATATATATATATATATATATATATATATATATATATGTGTGTGTGTGTGTGTGTGTGTGTGTGTGTGTGTGTGTGTGAAAAGTGTATATAAATATAAACAAATATATATATGTATAATTATTTATATATTATATGCGCGGTACTTATTAGAAAGCGCTCAATATCAGAAATAGAGCTAACATATTCCAGCTGGAAAATACATATGACATGTACACATCAACGAGACATTTCCGCCACACTTCCAATGTTTAGATTTCAACATTTCAACATACAAATGCGTATGTATAGATATAACACCACCCGTATAAATACATGTGTCATAGCCGAAACTGCCCACATATGTTTATATATGTATGAGTCCCGACGGACGACCAAGTATGTATATGTGTCTGCATACATCGATGTTTGCGTTAGTACGATGAATGACAAAACGACGAAATTTCCCCACCACTTCCACAATAACAACCAATACACGCAATCTACATAAACCCAATTTTTTAAAACATTAATCAGTTTGTCTGACGATCGCTAAAGCGTGAAACCCAGGGTCACAAACTCACATCTATCCAACCAAATATATATATATATATATATATATATATA